TGTACCTCATGCTACCTACATGCTACCTTTATGTACCTTATGCTACCTTTATGTACCTTTATGTACCTCATGCTACCTTTATGTACCTTTATGTACCTCATGCTACCTTTATGTACCTTTATGTACCTCATGCTACCTGCTGTCTTTTCTGGAGATCAAGAAATCCAAACTTCCATATCCTCCATTAAAAAAACTTCCACAAAGGATCATCGATTTACATTTGCTAAGTTGACTTCCTGCACAGTCTAGAACTACTGCCTCACCTTTAGACTCCTTTAAAACTGAGCATCGCCTAAATACCACACTACCAGATTTTCCATTCAAACAGTCAAATGATATCGAATTACATGCCAGGTGTGGGTCTGAAATATGGCACAGGATCCTTTCAGGGCGATAGGAGCCATGTCAGTCGCATCCTAATGTGCCTGTAATATTCAGCACAGAGAGAGAACACCAAACAGCTCGCTGTATCTACGAAAGAAATGCCTGAGTTTCCTCTGCGAATTTCCATAGTTGTGCCTTTGCTTGTGCTCAGGTTTCACTCATAAACCCTTCACTTTCACTTTAACAAGGGGGCGTTTCGCATTAGGAATTGTGTGAGCGCTGCCACCCTGTGGCCAACGGAATACTTGTAATGTTGTCCTTGCTTGCACTATCACATTAATGCATTAGTGAAAAACTAGGCCACAGTTTTTCCTCCTGATAATTCCAAAGTGATTGACAAACTAGCATTTTCGTATGCAGGTTGGTAGCCACGAAGTGATCACACTGTACAGTTAACTGGCGTATAAAATAACCGCCAGGAGTGAACAATCCTGCATTGCTCATCCTTCAAGGACTCGCATCCTTACTGTATTTGCCACGGTTCTAATAATAAATCAGTTTTTCTTTGTTTCTCTTCTAACAGTGCAGTGCAAGAATTGAGCAGAATGTTTCAGAGACTTGGCTGTTTGGATCACAGTAACTGTATAACATCACAGATGGCCAGCAGCATATTGTGAATGATGGTGGTCTGGTTCAAACCATTTCATCTATGTGACTAGTTGTGAACGGTTCATTTGACAGACACTCATAAACATATTTTCCTCATCTGGAAGGGGACAGAAGGAAGCTTGTGTTCCCGATTCTTCCCGATTACTCCACCCCCGGACCCCAGACCGCCTTCATCCCGCACTGGTGATTTCGGGCCATCATCGGAGGCGGCGTGGGGTACCTGAGGTAGCAGTGTGGAAGCCTGGCCAGCCAGCCGCTGCAGGGAGCTGACGTGAGGCACCTTGATGGGCACTGCTGTGAGGGTTCCCAGCACCTGTGTGGAGACAGACAGATCCTGAGTGGATCAGCTAGACCATGCCGTCTCCACGCCTCGCCCCACTGTGAAAACAATCTGCTCTGGGAAGTTAGGACAGCTGTGACAAACACCAGCAACCGTAAACACATGAAGGTCATCTTTAATCCCGGTCTCATTTTTTCACACAGTTTCTACGTGACTTACTTTTGACACAAATTTACCAATATTCAAACGTGTTCATAATTCCATTAAATTCAATTTATTTTTATATATGGTGCTTTACCTGGGTGTGTTGTGATACATTCCTGCACCATTCATACAGGAATTACCAGAAAGTAAATTTTTAAAGAGATAATTTTATTAACGGCAAATAACATAGGTAAAACTTTCACAATTTACACACCAGGATATGCGTCTCTTCACGTTAAGTAGGCACAGAAGTTGTCCTACTTAGACATGGAACATACAAGTCCCAAACTGCTATGTTACTTACTGCCTACAAAAAGTTGTCAGAAGAGCATTATCTTCGCAAGTAAAGTTTCTAAAAGTCTGCTGCAGAGAAACAAAATAAAAGCCTCTTTCATTTGAGGGACAGACACGGCATGGTTATGTAAAGAAGACTTCAGTCGACTGTATAATCATCATGCCATGGAATTCTCCCTACATAAGTCAAAGAATTTCCCCGGACAACATCGTTTTTTGTACAGCAGGACGGATGTAACCTGATTACAATAAAGGAACAATAACCTGAGGTGCTGCATTCCTCATACTAAAGGGCAGCACAAATCACTGGCAGAAGCCATGGCTCTGCAGCATGTGGGCCTGAGGAGGTGTGTACTGCAGAATGAGCTTGGAAAGAATACAAGGGATAGAAGGACAGGAGACATAATGACAGGCCTTGGAAGAGAGTTCACGGTGACACTTCATGCACGGCCTCGGCTGTCAGGCTTTGGTCCAGTTCTGCTCCGTCACAGTAATGAATGTGTTTCAGATCAAGGGCACCGGGAAGGAGTCTCTGCACCATGGCTGCTATGGCCTTCTAGGGATGCAGAAAGCCACCGCTGCTGAAAGCACCCTCTGAGATCTCTGTCGTAGGCCCCACCTTCTGGCCCCCCGGTGGTCATACACGGTAAGATCCCAAAATGTGTTGGTAATGCTTTCTGCCGTCTGTCGCTTGGCATATGATGCTGTTTACCTCTCTGTCATAGTCCAGGAACGCCTTTTTATAACCCCCCAAATTGAACACCTAAACAATGACTAATAAGAAATGGTATCCTGCTTCAAACTCTGGTAGCTGCCTTATGTCAAGCCTAATTGTCTTTTCTGAGAGTCTCTGTTATTTCTATGCATGTGCTGCCAAACTTCAGGCCCATTCAATACTTCTTTCACCAAAGTCATTTTCCTTCAGTATTTGATTAGATTCAACATAAACATTTCTTCTGTACTTTTTGACCCTCACGTGGCGTGTTTATTGGCCCTAGAGGGGAAAGAGAGCTCATCAACAGCAATATTGGATTGTTAGCACTTTTAAATTGCAGTTAAAACCCATATACTTTTGGGAAAAGCGAATTCGACGCATACATTCAATTCTGCTGACAACCATTGCAGCCGCTTTTGTATGTCGTACCACTGCAACTGTGATTTGGCTCAGTGTGTCACTCCGGCCAGGCCAACCCTGCTGAAATAGGGCACTGCCCCCCTCCCCCCCTTCAAGGAGCCGCCTCAGAGCAGGTCAGATGCGTTTGATCGGAAAGACCCGCAGATTATGCCACGTGGTCTTGGCACACGGACGTGCTTGACCTTGCCAAGGTGAAACGGCCTGGGGACACGGTATTAATACTCAGCCAGTCCCCACCCCAGCATGTTAGCATCCTGCACTGGTGCCCAGGGGGACGGGGGGCGCGTGAGGGCCAATCGCACGGTGCTGCTCACTTTAAAGCTGTCATCCCATCACACACAGACCGGGCACAGGAGGGGTGACAAAACCGATTATAGAGTCTGACACGCAGGCCAAGTCCCTAACCTACCACTTAATTTCAATGTTTGCATTTTAGACAAATAGCAAGAGCTTATTTTCTTCTCTGCAATCCATAGTTAGCCAGAGAGGCCCATTTAAGTGAGTTTCTGTGTAGTGGATCTTTACAGCCATTTTGATCAGACTAATCATCCAATAACATGAAAACTAATAAAACTAATAAAATAACCACTTTTTAAGTCTGCTGTCCAACTGCTACACTCATTAAAATAGTGTTAATTGAGAGGGTTAAGCAATTATTGGACCTGTGCTGGTGGCTAAATGATATGAAATGCTTTTATATGTATTTTATATGTATACTTCCACACAGACTGACTAATATACATATATAGGGCACAACACTTCCGTTAATAACTGTGGTCACTGGAAAAAAATAACTCAATTTCATTCATCTCAGGATACAAAAACGGGACACGCGTTTTCAGGAAAGGCAAGGGACATCCGAGTGCTCCCACAAAAGCTGAAAGCCTCAACGTCTCCCAACATAAGTCCCATAGCTTTGTTGTGTTATGGGGAAGAAGGGATCTGTTCCCGTGGCAACGGATAAGACAAAATTCTTACGCTGAAAAGGCATTCATTTCCGTAATTGCTGCCTGCTTTTAAAGCCAAAGCACCCTCAGATAAACCTCCTGAAACACACATGGTATAGCCTTGGAGGCTTGGGCTGCTTTTCCCCATCTCGCCGCTCCCCCCGCCACACCCCCTCCCCTGCAGTCGCTGAGGGTTCCAGTCACATGCTACTCAGCACTGCTATACTTCACAGTAGTGCCCCCATGCCCCCATGCCCCCTGCCCCAAGTTTGCCAGGGGCACTGGTGAGTTGCCTGTCAAGGCCCACTGTCTGCATGCCAGGTGCTGGCCTGGTTGCCCTCATTAGGCTAATTCAGCTCGACCACACCAGCGGCATCCAGAAATCTGCAAAGGGGGCGGACTTTTCTGAGCCTGTCTTTTATGCAAAGCTACCTTTTATGCTAGCTGAAGAAAATGTTTACAGTCCCATTTTTACTGCAGAGAACAAAAAAAAAAACATCCCTTTTCACTGTATGTTGCATCTGTCAACCTTGGCCTCAAACCCCACACAGCCAGATGAAAGCACATTAACAAAACAAAAATACGGTTTTCCCCACAATACTTTTCTGCTCTATTGAAATAGCGGGGAGATGTGTGGAAATGCCATCATGTCATTGAAACACTGAGATGGAAGGATTTACGTCGAACAACAAAGACAGCAATTTCTGTAGTTT